GGTTGGAAAGGAGCAACCTGAACATAAGCTTTGGAAGCAGCTCCAGATTTTTCTGACATAAGCGGAATATAATTTTAGCTCTGGATCTGAACTTTCCTGAAAGCAACGTGCAGGCGATCTCTGCTCTTTCCTTTCTCACCTCCTCCTAGTTTTAGAGTAAACTGTAGGAAATCTGAGCAATTACTAAAATCCTGTAGGAATTACAGAGGGTTAATTTGTGGCATTTATGTCTAGTGCAGCGACACCCCCCTCTCCATAGGCTACGAAACTCTCCATGGTTTTTTTTAACAAGCTCTAAGTGCTTCCTTTTGGTGTTATCCTTTGGCTAGTATATTGTGATGCTTTTAAATACTTCCTAGATTAAAAAGCAAAGTGGCAATGAGCTACCAAATGTTTGTTTATCGTGAAAAAGTATTTGCAAACTATGTGGGGTGTTTTTTTTCTATCTGACTGGACCCTTTCAAAGGTGTCTGTGTTTCCCGTGGAACGGCAACGGCGAATCTCCCGCAGCTCACTCGGTTGCAATGGGAGACTGATGCTGACAGTCCCCGGAGATGCAGCTGAAAATCTGGCCTCCATTCGTAGTGAGAAATGCCACTGTCAGTTGTTCCATTCCTGGCAAGGAGGACAAAATCTTTCTGAAAAAGTTCTGGCGCGGAGCTGACGGCTCTCCCAGGCACTCGGCACGCCGGAGGAGGTCAGGGCTGTATCCCACAGCTGGGAAGGCTGCCGCGCCGCCGAGCTCCAGCTCGTGATTCAGCCTCTGGCTGTGCAAAAGCTACAGATGTGCTTGATTTCCTTAAACAAATGCAATGCAATTTGCCTTCAGTGCAAATGCCGGGCTCTCAAAAATATTTAATGGGATGTGAATGGGGCCGGACTGACTTCATCCTTGGGACTCTGACAGTGGGCGGGAGCCACGACTTGTTGCTGCGCTCTAGGAAATCAGCGTGCAGCTTCCCAGACATATATTCAGCATGCAGTTAGCAAAAACACTAAAAGCTGTTTACTGTCTTTCATAGAAACAGGCTCTTGCTTTTCGTGCGTGCTTTATTTAGCCGCGCGTAGGGGCCAAGCACTCTCCGCTGCATGGTGAGAGGGAGGTGGGGGAATCGCTGTCCCTCTCCCCCTGCTCTCCCTCCCCTTCCCCATCCTTCCTGACGTCTGGGAATTGAAATCTCTGATCACGCCGAAGAGAATCTGCTTCTCCCACCATCGAAGAATGTAGCTGGATTCGTCCCACCTCCCGGCTGACTCCAGGGAAGGCTGCGCAGCTCCAGAGGTCTGAGGCTCGTTCCCCTTTGGGGCTCGGTTCGCCGGGATGCTGAGGGGGGGCTGTGTTGTTTTGGGGCGTGCGTGGGCATCGGCGGAGCAGGGAACTTCTGCAGGGTTTTACTCTCCGGGAAACTTGGAGCTGGTGCAGCTCAGCTCGGGGCAGCGCTGCCGATGCTGCATGGGGGTGGAAGGTCTCACTCTCTTATGGTGAGGTAGCTTAAAGACTCACATTCGCTGCAGGTCAGGTCTAAATATTGCCAGGACTGCTTTAGCAATTCTTGCAGAGAGATGGCTGTGAGAAATGCACTTGGTGTGTTGGCTTGGTTTTTTCCCTTCTCTTTTGTGGTTAATAACATAAAACCTGAGGGAAATTGCTGCCATAAAGAGCAATGCTTGGAAAGGTTTGTTAGCAATAGCGGTTGTCTGGGTGGATTTTTCCCACCTGGAGGTGTGGTGTGGGTCTGTATCAAGCTGATGTTACCACAGCTGCCCGGCTGCAGGGAGCTGCAAAATCTTAGCCTGGAGGTGAAACTTGTGCCTTGCTTTTTTGAGACTGGTGCTGGGATAATTGCGACTTCTTACTCAACAGTGGGACTGAAATACAGGAGGTTTCCAGGAGAGAACAGAAAGGGTTTGATGAATGTGATTTTTTCAGTCCAGTTTAGGTCCTTTACCTAGCAAAGCACTGGGACAGGTGTGGTGCCTGCAGCTGGCTGCCCCAGGCAGGTCGCCGGTCTCTTCTGCAGGGCTGTCCCTGCCAGAGACTCTCTGCAGAGACAGTGGTGCCCTCCGGGATGAGGAATGGTGGAAATGTCCCCAAACTGTGGCTGTGGAGGGTGGAAATAATTCACAGAGCCCCCAAACCCCCAGTTTTAATTGTGCTGATTTACATGTGGCAGGGATTTTTTGCATGGATTTTTTTTTCTTTAAAGCAACTGCTTATACAATTTGCTGAATGAATAAGGGGATCTCTGACTGTGTTAACCTCCAAATCCCCTCTGAGCACACAGCTGGGGCAGGCAGGAAGTGGGGGGGGGTGTCCCCACGCCCATTTTCCAGGCCCTGGAAATGCCACAGGCTCCATGTGTTGCTGTCTCCAAATTCCTTCCCTGGGTAGTAACGGGAGGAAGGCATCGGCGTGCCGGAGGCTGCCTGCCCACCAGCAGACGGGTGTCATAGAATCCTAGAATCATTAAGGTTGGAAATGACCTCCGAGATCATCAAGTCCAACCGTCAACCCAACACCCCCATGCCTGCTGAATCCTGAAGTGCCATGGGGACTCCACCACTGCCCTGGGCAGCCTGTCACTGTGGTCTCCTCCATCCCAGGTCCACAACTCAGCCTGGCTGGCTGGTGACACCGGTGAAGGCAGAAATGGCTGGGAAGGGACCATGGAGACCCAGAGAGGGCTTGGGGTCCAGCAGGTAACCTGCGGAGAGGGAGCTCTGCAGGGTGGGGAACAGAGAGCTCCTCCAGCCATCTGTCTTCCACCATTTCACACAGCTGCAGTCGTTATTCCTGCTTTACAGGCAGCAAAATGAAAGTTGGCGAAGAGGCAAAATAACAACGGGTTTGCCTCTGCGCTGGGAAGAAGAGGTGAAGTCCCTGCTCCTTGCTTTAGGTGCAGCAAAGATCCACACCCTGGGGACTCACCGGGTCCAGCCTGAGTTAATACTGAACTCATCCTTACTGACACACCAGGGTGAAGCTCCTGGCTGGATCTGTCCCTGCAGTAAGCCCGGTGCTGTGCACGCTGGAGAAGCTTGAGTGTTTATTAAACTGGACTTTGGATCCCATGTAATCCTGGCTAACACGAGAAGATCACAGAATGCCAGCATGGTCGGGGCTGGAAGGGACCTCTGTGGGTCACCCAGTCCAACCCCCTGCCAAAGCAGGGTCACCCAGAGCAGGCTGCACAGCACCGCGTCCAGGTGGGTCTGGAATATCTCCAGAGAAGGAGACTCCACAACCACAACCCAGAGCTTTTGCCAGAGTTTGGCATCCCGTTTGCCAGCAGAGCCATGGGGAAGTGGCAAGGAAATCGGGAGCGGTTTGGTGGCATTGTGAAATGGCACACACGAACTTCTGATTCAGGGAATTTTTCAAAAATGCGGGCTTCTTGCTGTTGTTTGGCACATGCACCTCTGCAGCTAGGGCAGGCTTTGCTTTTCTTGAGGTGACAGTCACATTCCTGCAACCCACCTGCAAAATGTTCACTGTTTTGTGTAAGCAATTACTTCATTTCATTAGCTAGGGAAAAAAAGCAAGTGTTTCCCACGGCTAAGGGCTTTAGTTACACGGCAGTTTCTTCATATAACCTCATCTATAATTTAAAAAAAAAAAACCACAGACTGAGTAGAGTGGTTAACATCTCCTTGTTATAACTTGCACATTTTCCCATTCATTCTTTCAGTAATTTAGAACTGATTTAGACCCCAGGAGATCATGGCTGGGTCACTCACGTGCATATTTATTTTTCCTTTAAATCACTAGAAAGCTGACGTATTTGAGGGGAAATAGGCATTTGCCAGGAGCCTCGAAATACCTGTCCGTCAATATGAATAGAAGTGAAATGTCGCTGCAGATGGCAGCGGGGGAAACTTGTGTGTGGTCTGGTTCTGCCAAAAGCAATAAGGCTGACACGTGGAGTGCAAAGGCGACAGATGCCAAGGATGCGTTGGAAAAGGCCAACAGCATCCATTTTAAACCTGGTATCTAGCCACTGAGACAAGGGGGAGGCACTGTTTCCAACAGGGTGGTTTTCTGCTGACCTAACATTTCTGACCCAAACTGAACAAAACTGAAATCCAGGCCAGCAAAGATAACTGAAGGTTCTCGAGGTCCGTGGGCTGTAGGCTGGCTGTCCTTCACCAGCCGGCTCTGACAATGCTGTAGAGGTTGCTGCGAAGTCAAACTGATCCTCTGCCATGATGAAGTCTGTAACTGCATCTGTTTTCATTCTGCTCAGGTGAACAAGTTAAAACAAGATGATCCCAACAAGTCCTGAACGTAACTTCCTGGGAACTCCACTGCGAAATAAGAAATAAAACCCTTGTTTCTAAACTTTTGACATATAAACTCATCTGGGTCTGTCCCTCCTGCTGCATAGCTGCTTTACTGCAGCAACTGCAGGGTCAGGAAATCTGTGGTGCGAGGACCTTTTCCCCCTGTGATCAGCGCGTGTGTTGCAGGGACATGAGAAAGGTTCTGTGTGCTTCTATACCTATATTGATTTTAGTCATGATAAGTGGAAATAATTACCTTGTGTTATTTAAAACAGAATTTGTTCTGGAATCTATGTCTGTCAGTGATTTGGTCAATGCTGCTTATTGCCATGATCCGAGCAGGACCCAGCACCTACTGTACTGCTGGCGAGATCATCCTGCCAAGGGAGGCTCCTACCATCTGCAGAACCAAGCAGGCTGAAAGGAGTACTAGGGTAATGCCCACTCCCCATCAGGTTTATCAACTCCATTTAGTAGTGGTACAAGGCATTGGACAGCTGTATTGCAGAGACCAAGAATATAAAATAATATATAAGAACTGCAGGATAATTCCTAGGTGCTTTTCCATCCACCTTTTCAGCGCTGTCAGTGATGCACAGAGCTGTAGATCTCAGTTTGTGGTCCCTTAACTGAGGACTGCAAATCTGGGTTTTGACATGGTGAAATGTAACTTTTACTTCTCCTTCCTGATGTTTGCCCTCTTGTAGGTCCCGGTCACCATGCTGATTCGCACTTGTTTCTTTTTTGCCTGCCTGCCTGCGGTGAGCCACGTCTGGGGACGAGTGGGTCAAGGTAAGGAGCCCGCCTGCTCTTGCGTGGGGCAGGTCCCTACGGTTTGGCTGTTGTCTGGGTTCACCCAGCCCTTGCCTGAGCCCTTCCCATTGGCAGTGACACTGCACGTGAGGAACATTCCCGGTCACAGGCAGGATTTCAGGGGGCTGCTGTGCTCTGGTGTCTGTTGGTGAAGCTCCAAACATCCTGTTCCCACACACGAAGAGCAACGGGGGATGAAGGGACCCATCTGGGGAGAGCATCTCGATCCCTCCCCACCCTGCAAAGCCTCTCCTCACTGGCAGCAGTTCAGCACGCCACTCCCTCTCACCAGGGATGCATTTCAGCCTGTGTAAGCAATAAAGGGTGCTTATGTGATCTGCAAATGGAGGCTGAGAAATAGGAAGAAAAAGCTGTGTTTCATGTGTTAGTAACTGCATCTGCCCTGTGCTCTGAAGCTATTGCTTTGGATGTACATGGTGATACATGGTGCAACATCTGGATAAGAAAGCACATGAGGTGCATTCCTTCTGTAACATATAGTGTTCCTATAGTACCATAAATGATCAGAAAATACCTGTAGCACCTCACCATAGCCTTTCTGATGCTGAAGATCCACCTTTAGATTGTGTTTGAACCTTCTGTGGAAGCGATCAGCATAAAGGTTTCTAGAGAGGTGATGGCACTTCAGAGTTTGGACAGACATGTCTCCATGCTGTGTATCTTCCAGACCAGCACTGCAGTTAAGGCTGGGCTTAACTCCCTGTCAGCTGGAGAGCAAGGTTACAGCATCAAATAGCGCACATCCAACACAGGGCAGGGAAACAGTGGAGCTTTCACGGCGCTGGGGTTCATTTGCATCCAGCACATAATGGCGCTTTAGAGGATGCTGTCCTTTCTGATCTGTCTGGGGACATTCTTGCCTTTTTAGTTTCTGGGCTCCTAGAGTGATGGCCGAGGAGCTGGACCACGCTTGGCTGAAAGAAGACAGCTCCATGTTTAATCTAACTATGAATTCCCCTCATTGTTCCACGATCTTTTACCATTTCTCCTAGGCATGATTCTGGGATTTGGTTTTACCCCTCATCCCTCATCCCCATGTTTTCTTTCTTCCCCTTCAGATTTGCCTGGGGTGAGATGTGAATCTGAGCTTTGTTTCCCCAAAATAGTTGTCTGCTTGTTGGGCAGCCTGCAGGAAGTCTCCCCAAGGAAAGGTTAAGGCACAGATGTCGGGCTGAGACAAGCATGTCCTCACTGTCAGCCCTCACGGCTTTCCTGGGCTGTGACTTCATGGCAGAGATGTCAGGAGACGTCTGGACATCGTGCAAGACCAGACTAGGGACTTGAGGAGTCCTGCGAGGCACAGTTTGACAGCGCTGAGGGACACTGCAGGTCACCCTAA